CACCAATTTTTGCTAGCTACATGGCAACAAGTAAAAACAAAAATGCACATATAATTAGGAGGATGAGTTTGCAGTAGGACTTTATACAAGTTTTCAGAAACCTGGAACTTGATATAAAAAGGCAGAGATAATCTTTAACTGAATATGTACCGTATTTTCCGGCGTATAAGACGACTTTCTAAACCCTGAAAATCTTCTCAAAAGTCGGGGGTCGTCTTATACGCCCAGTCGTCTTATACGCCAGAAAATACGGTACTCCCTAATTCAACATCTCAAGAAAGAAAAATAGATTAATGATCCTTGCCAGTTATTTAATTCAAGTTACTGCTAAAGTATATCACCAAACTATCTCCAGAGACTGTGATATTTATGTCTTGTATATTTTGTAAAAGTATAAAAGATGACAAGCAACTTAACTAGTTTGAACCTTAGCATAGAGTAGACCTACCCAGGAAAGATGCTATCTACTAGGTGGAAAAAATCTGAAGGACATCCATAATTACCTTGGATAAGGAAGATGGGTTCCCAGTTACTAAAGAGATGTCCTTTGTCCTTTTTATATTCCTATTATTGCCTTGTCCTATTTATTTATGCTTTGCAGTCAAAATTATTCTTCTGCTCTGCTTTGCTGAATAAATTCTTTCAGCTTTGACTTCATTTTGTGCATATTGCTCTCGAGTCTACAACCTCCTGCCCATATCTGACTGAGGTGAAACAGCTGGTAAATCCCTCTCTCCATGATGGGAAGCAGGTCATTTTTTAAAACTTAGTCATATTTGTTTGCAGATTACTACCTTCAGAAATCGGATTGATCAGGCACAGAAACAGTGAGTACCTAGATTACTTGTCCAGTGTGAAGACTGGAATATCCATCTGTTTGCAGTAGTCACTTCAGTCTTCTTCCAGCTATTTCTTATTGGAAGGGAATGAAGTGGAAAAGCACAGTCGCTAAAGCCCACTTTTTTCTTTCCTTTAAAAAATACTTTGGAGAAACTGAAATGAATCTATAATCCCCCCCCCTCTTTTTCCCCGTCAATCTTGGTGAGGCTGCCAATGTGCTTTACATTGGCATGGAAAGCATACTTTCCGAGATTGTAAGGAACAGGATTTAATAACACTAATATTCAAATTTGCCACTGTCACATGGAAATCATGTGGCATGGTGTGCCCAATGGTTCTTTTGATGCATCATATAATCTTATCTCCCTTCATCTAATTCAAATTATTTCCTGCTTGTTTTGTTCCATAGTTTCATTGCTGCATGTGTCAATTCAGAAACCTAATGCTTTAAAGATAAAGGCAATAGTGAAACAATAATCAAATGAAAGCAAGGGTTGAAAGGGGATAGTTCTAGAAGAAATGACTGTATGGAAGGACGAACTCTCAAAACCTCTCTTCTCATGCAGGGAAGGAAAACCAGTGCATTGATATGCCTGGCTCTATTAAATGCATATAATTCTAGATGTTTTGCTTATATGTTTTATATTATATATATCATTCAATGAATGGTGCTTCGGGCTCATTAATAGCTCTTAATTGGCCCTGTTAATTTATAAACAGTATAATCCTTGTTGCAGAACTGGAGGCAATTCAGATAAATCTATGCTACTTTAAAGGCAAGGGCATGCTGAAAGTTACTTAGGATGATGTGCCATTCTTTAGAAGACAAAACATAAAAAGAATACAGTTCTAAGAGGGTTGTTAAAGATTATGAGCTTCATGAAATGATTTGGCTGCAAAATCTTACAAAGAAAAAAATAAAAGGAAAAGAAACTAACAGGAGTAAGGTATACCAAATTTTTGTCAACTGCACCAATAAGGTATTTTTATAACTGACACTTGTGGACATTATTGGAAGATACGGCAGCACATAAATGTAAGTTTGTAGCACATATGTCTATTATCATCCGAAGACACGCAACAGCCACTTGTCTCTGAGGACAAAGGCTGTTTTAGGGGAGAAAAAGTGCCATGTTAAATAACAGGTAAAGTATTTGCTGTTTGTGTATATGAATGGTGATGTCACTGACATGTTCCCGTATGTAAAACTACCACTGTTATCATGTAAGCTTTAAAGATACTCCTTTTACTGTTATATTTCCCTGTCTCTCACATTCCCTGGAAGATTTCATATTGGAAGTGTCCCAATAGCACATAATCTAAACTCCAATTCACCAAACACATAGCTACTAATCCAAGTTAGCTTGTTGTGTAAGTTATAGTACCATCTAAGGATACACAGCATGCCAATAACAGCAATGCAGCTAGAATTTGTTACTGGGCCAAGTGTGGTGTTCTGTACCAAATTAATGTACTCATTTGGAACAACAGTACACATAACTGAGCTCATAATTAAGGTAAGTTTTGCATGTTTCAGATACTGTTTCTTTTGCATGCAAAATAAAACAGTTTGAAATCTTGTCAACTACAGTAGCACAATTTAAACATGAGTTTTTTCCACCTGTCTTTTGAAGAAGTTTTTTTTTTATCTTGATGAAGTTTAAAGGAAGTTGTGCTACTTTGAAACATAATGCTTTGTGGTTTATCAGAAATTCTGAATAAACGTTGTTTCAACTCTGCGCCTAGTTTTTATTAGTATTTCAAGTCAAATTTGGGCAACTTCTGGATTTTTGGTGATGACTTTATTTAGGAGATAATGCAATCACTTTTTGGATGTTCAGACTAAATTGAAAAGTTGGCAGAAGCTAAATATAGATTATATCATGTATTAGTTTTAATGCACAACTATAATTGCATCTAAAATTCCAAGGTAGCTCTGCCATTAATGTATGGAAGTTTCCATTTCTGACAAGTCTGATTAGAACTCAGACAACTATTGCCTTTAAAAAAAAAACATGTTGATTGTCAGCTTGAGATAAAATAGCTTCGGGATCCAGATTGAACAGATTGCCAGCAGCTATTCCTTGATCAAGAGATGAACAAAATGGATCTGATAAGAGTAGAATTCATTGGCATTTCATCTGCTTTAATGATAGAGTGACATGAAATGATAAACTTGTTGAAAAGGCAAGGTCAAGAACAGGAAACGGTGTCTGTATTGCAACAGCAAGACACATTTTTATCTTATTTGTATTACAGCAGCAAGAAGGCCGGAGCCAAGGGCAAAGTTGGAGGACGCTGGAAATAAAGATCTGGAAGGTCCCTGCAGGAAGATTCATCAATGGTGGCATGGCCAAACATCACTGGCTCATCTTCCCTATTTAGCTACCAATTCCTCTCTCT